CAAGATATAGGTGCTTTTTTCCAAGTCAATAATTCCTTGATATTCAATTAGTTCAAGTTTCAGTGGCAGATATTTTCACTTGAATGTTTGGGGAAAATGTATTAGTGAAAAAAATCTGCAAATTGAACTAGTACTCTTCTTCAGTATTAAGGTTTAACTGACTTTAAAAAAGCTCTTATATCTTGCTGAAAAGTCACTTGTACATTAGTTGAAACAAGGCAAAACTAAGATTTAAACTAGAAACCAAACAAGAAACATTTGGAAATATTTTGTATTTTTTCAGCTGGAGAATTGCTTTGGTTTTTTTCATGAATGTTTGAGAAATCGTTGAATCTTCAGTCTCCATGTGAGCTTCCGCCTCACAGATCAGTTCCTTCAGACTAGTGGCAGCAGCATTCACCAAACACCTGGTGGAGCTGCACAACTGCAACACTCCTAATAACGACTGTAAACGGCATCAGTGGACTGCAGGAGAAATGCTGTGATGACATGATGAAGGGTAGGAGTTTCTTAAGGAGACAGATTTCAGTTTAATATGTCAAGTTAAATTTCTATTCACTATTTTAAGTTATTTCATTGTGTTAAAAATGGAATCATGTGAAAATAGATATTCCCTGAAGCTGCTTTTCCTTTAGAACCTGCCAGTGTTAACATAATTTAGACATTAAATAATCTAACTCGGTACAGATGTACATGAATGGAGACTAAATTCTACATTTATTAAGCAAATAGCTCAACAGGACTAAAAGCTTAAATTGGGGAATCTGTGGAATCAGGTTTGGCTTTGAATTTATTTTTCACTAACTGCTCAATGAATTATAAGTATTACTATAAGTTTCTTTTCTCTATTTATATGTTTGAAGTTCATTTAGAAGAGTTTGTATCTAAATTTGAGAGGCTGAAAAGTTTCCAAGCAGAACTTTATTTTGACAATGATCTTTCACCAGAAATGATTTAATGACATTTTGCTTCATGCAGATACATCTACACTCAATCGTCTGCTTTTACTTTGAAACCAGTCCAGCTGGTTTACTCAGTAACCAGCTGGACTTTCTCCCAGTCCCAACCTGCTGGAGCTGATGGGTCGTTTTAAAGTTCGCAAAAGAACCGGAATATTTTTTACTCTAAATGTTATCATCATGCAGTGACAGTAGAGAAAATTCAGTTTGTGCCACTCGGTGATGTTTTACCTTCTTTGCTTTGTGTTGGGAGCGATCCTGATCACAGTTAAGAAAGAAAGTATGAAACAATACTTTATAGTTTACAGCACTTGGAACTATTTTTACACTTTTTGCCCTCTTGCTTCAGTTTGTTAATCCAACTCACGCTGCAGTCAGTTTGCTTCCAGTCGGATGCGTTTGACAGGATTTAGGACAGAAGTTTGTCTTTTGTTTCACCTGTAAAAATCACACATTGATTCAGAAAGTGCTGCCCAGTTCAGCACAGGCAGTTACTGTAAATCACATGATGAGGTGTGGCCAGACTTTGGACAGAGTCCATTCAGAGAAACCATGGTCCACGCTTCTGCTTCTCTATTTATACAAAACGTTCTGTTGCAATCAATTTTTATATATAAAATAAGAAACTCAGGCAGTAACGGTTTCTAAGTGGAGAATTAAAAATAATATTAAACTTATTGGGATGTCTTGATGAAACAAAATATATCTGACTTCATTTCCACATTCACAAATATAAAATAATGAAAGTGGAAAATTACTGTTAATAAAATAATTCTAAGATTTTCTACCTCTAAAGATTAGTGCAATAAAGAATCTGTTTTTATTTTCTCAGCTGGTTTCTTGCTGAGATAGAAATAATTTCTAACATAATTTCAAGTAAATTGTTGACTAAAGTAAAATAATTCATCATAAGTCAAAAGGTTTTCTTCTGTGTTTAATGTATTTTAATTTTCAGGATGTGTCTGTCCTGCTCAGCCTGGGCAGCTGGAGGCCTTTACTGGTGGGAACGTCGTCCTTCCCTGCAGTCTGAACCTCCATCCCAGTGACCATGTCCAGACGGTGGAGTGGTCCAAACTGGCAGCAGGCCAGAGGCCAGTCGTCGTTTTCCTGTACCGCCACGGCTGCGAAACCTTCGAGATGAAGGATCCCGACTTCGAGTATCGGACGAGCCTCATCATGAGAGAGGTGAAGAACGGGAACGTTTCTCTGAGGATCTCCGGCGTGAAGCCGTCCGATGGCGGGACGTATCGGTGCTTAACCATCCAGAACGACGGCCGCAGACGGGAAGCCAAAGTGGAGCTGGTTGTTGGTGAGTCAACTGAGGCCATCAGGTTTAAACCAAACAACCACACATTTTAAAAAGATATATTTAATATAACAACGTTTTTATAACAGAACTGAAGTCTTATTTTATCCTTTAGCATGTCTGATGACATCATTTCTGAAGAGTACTGTTTACTTCAACTGCTTTTATTTTGAAGTGGCAGTATCACCATTTCTTACAGGTTAGCAAAAATAGCTTTCCATCTAAAAAGCTAACATGGAATAATACAATTTCAGGTTTTTAATTTGACATTTTTGTTTTTTTATTAGACTGGAATTATTGTTCAATATGAAACTAAGAAGGAAATAATCTGACCTCTGAAACTGAACAGTTCTTAGCCGGAAACGGTTTTAAACATTTTATTTATTCTGATCTTAAAATAATGTTTCTTGTCATTTCAGCTCCCTGCGAGGAATCCACCATCACAGCCATTCTGATATATGTTGCTTTAGCAGTTTCAGTTTTATTTAACCTACTGTTGGGGTTGTATTTGTTGGTAACAAAGAAGCGAATTAATTCAGGTAAGTTACTGTTCTTACTTAGCAGAATAAATACGTCATTAAATAAAGCGATTTTATTTACAGAGAGAGAGAAAGCAGATGAGGAAATATGAGAAGAAAAAAAACAGATGTAACACAGGAATTAGAAAAAGAACATTTTAATATGAATTACTTTTGCATATCTTGTTAGCAATTGATATTAATAAGTGACAGCATATTTGATTAAATGCTAAATTTGACTATTTATCCAAACAGATAACAGAATGAATGCAGAAACTCCAGACTCAGGGAGGACATATTGTACAATTTACTCACATCTATTTTTCTGTGAAACTGTAACAGGATAAACAAAATAAATACATATTAGTGTCATTGCTGTCAAAACCACCACATACATAATTTTCATACACACACAGATGTTATTTTTATTAGCAACAAAAAGAACTGACTTCAAACTATAAAAACGCAGAATTTCTCCCCAAATGAATCTGTCTGTAGTAACTGATCTGACATGTGATTAATGTAACTTATAATACTCACAGATGATCCTTCAACAGGCAACAAAACAACAGGTAACTGACCAGGATCGGCCACTAGAGGGCAGAGTTCCACAGAAAATAAGATAACATTCATTTAAACAGCAAAAGAGTGAACATGAGATAATTTCAAACATAATTTACTCTGAAAACTAGAAGATTTGTTATATAAACTACTTTTTAACCTTTTTATAACCATTTGTGGTGGATTAGGAACCTCTAGTGTTGATGATTATACTTTTTTAAGAGTTTGCACTGACTGGGCTTGATTATTTCAGTGATTTGTAAGAATCCCCAGGAGTGTTATTAAAGCTTTGGCTTAAGGCAACACATCAAAATCTCCTAAAACCTTCGAACACAAACACTCAGATTGTTTTTACCTCTTGAGGAAAAAACAAATTAGAGGTTCATAACATCCATATTTATCTCGACTGCTCTTTAAATCAAAGTTTGGGAGATACAGCACACAACTAGAAAAGAGTAAATGAGGTAAGAAAATGACCAATTCGTGTTAAATTATCTATTCCTCAATGAGGCTGAAAATAAAACTGAGATAAGACAATAGTAAACAGGAGGAACAAAAACATTTTGAAAAACAATAAAAAATAGTTTAAACTTGAAATATTAATAATGTGAACTATAGTAACACATAGAGAAATTATACAAATGGGATAATACCACTAATCTGAAAGAACAGCTGCACTAGGAAACGTTGTTCCCCAAAATAAAAGGATTTAATTAAATATTAATCTAAGTTCATCAATCATAGCAGCAGCATTCAGTAACTGATGATGTTGACAGGAAGTTTCTGCAGGATTGTAGGTTTCATTCCCTCTTTCACTCACTGACACCTTCAGAAGTAACATTATTTCCCAATGTGGCTTCATGACTGGAGTTTCAACTTCTGCTTCTTCCATTTGGTCCATTTCCTGTTGCTCCTCTCTGTGGTTTTATGGTTTCTTTTACTACAAACCGGTTCATGCCTCATTCTGCATCAGATAATTTATTTTTCTGATAAAGTTTCAGTTTCTAATTGATAAACACATTGTCACCTTCCTAAAATAAAAGCGTCATTACTCATTGAGTAATTCTTTTTTTTTTTTTTTGCCTAAATCATTTTATGACAAAAAAAATTGTCACATTATTTTAGGAAAGTGACAAAATGCTTGTGCCTGATTTCTTGTGTTTCCTTCTTTTGAATAAACATTCTTTAAAAAAATTAAATGTTACTGATGTTTCCATTTGACTCTTTTTCTGACTGTCTGAACCCAGATGGAGAAAAACCATCAGAGCAAAAGGACAAGTTGGACCAAACCATGACGACTGACTTCAGTGAATCCAACTCCTTTCTGAACCAGCTGAGTCTGACTGAAAACAGGCAAAACAGCATCCTGGAGGAGCTGAACAAGCAGAGGCGCAAAGCGGACACCATCCAAATAGACGACAGCCGTTCCTGGAACCGTCCTGCCTGCCAGCACAACCATCCAACAACCAGCCAGAGCTCCACCGGATCGTCTCTGGATTCCTGGGAAACCCGATCTCTGATGTCTGATCCCGATCCTGACGCTGAGGCGGAAAACTCACCGGGAGATCAGGAGCCAAACTGGGCCTGTTCCTGACCTGAAACATCTGTCCAGCTGTCCAATAGGAGCAACACAAACACAGTCAGCAGATTGACTCAGCTGCACACAAATTCATACACTGATGGGTAGAAAACTTTGGGTTGAGAGCCTTACCATGGGCACACTGACATATAGCAGTTAATTTATGGGATGTGATTCATCTCAAACCTCCTTTTGGACTAATTTAAAGATGACTTGAACTTTTAAAATCCTAAATTAATATATTATGACTGATCTTCAGGTGTAAATAAAAGCATGTTCCTGAATGTTTCTAAGAAACTGAATGACGGATGGCATGCTGCAACTTGTTTTTGATTGAAGCTTTTGATGGTTAAATTTCATGAAGGTCAGATTAAAAGTTTAAACTGGACTGAACAAATTTTAGCTTCCAGGGTTTATTATTCATTTATTGATGATAAAGTGAATTTATAAAGGTACCCTCAACCTCGTCCGCACTAGAACCTTTTATTTCTACAATGGGTCGTAGTTTTCAAAACACTTTTCAGAAAAAATTTTAACAATAAACTGTCCCAAAACATAATTTTTACTCCTCCAGACCTGTAAGTGACTCTAGTTAAGGCACACAGGACTTTCACATAATGGCTCCTCACAAGATTCGTAGTAAATGGAACAAGAAAACAAGAAAGGTGAACAAGAAATCACAAGTAGAGTCTTGTGCAGTATTTTTTTAGAGCTGTGGCTAGAACCTTATTAAAGGTTCTGCAACCATGTCCACGGAGATGTAATAGGTGAGGTTAAAGGTCAGACTAACACGTCTTCACAAAAGATTTGCTTTCACTGACCACAAGAAAATGTCAGGGCAGAATTTACAAACTGCAATCTGTTATTTTGTTTTACATTTTCATACCAAAAATGTTGTTTACATTGGGACATGTGACAATTTTATTCAATTAGAAAGTAGCCATCCAAAAAATTACATAACCAGGCAATTAAATAGCAAAATCAGGCAAAATAAAATTTTTCCAAATCAATTTCTTTCAATATGAAACTTAAGAAACTAACAAAAACTGAAGGTTTTGTTTTTGTTCAGTGGGTTCAGAATCCAGAAGTTTTAATCAAATAAGAGTAGAAATACTTCAGAATAAAATTACTCAAGTAAAATTAAAATGTACAGCGTAGTAAAAATACTCATAAAAGTACATTTTCCAATAAAGTTACTCAAGTAAATGTAATTGACATATGGATACATGTTCAAAAACTTACCTGTTTTAGATAAAAACATTTCTGTGTGGGCGGAGCCTCAAGGTTGTGTTATAATATTAAAAAGTGTTAAAAGTTTAGTGTAAAACTTTTCCAAGGTATTGTAAATATTCTGAAATGTTTAGTCCTGAGTTAGCTTTAGACTAAGTTAGATTATTAAAAAGATTGTGAGAATTAAAGGACATGATTTTACTGCCATAATTTTAGTTTACGTTTTATTTTGCATTATGCACATCTTTTATTATGACTCTTATTTTGAAAAGTTAAAGAAGAAGTGCAATCCAGAATGTTAGGCTGGGGCAACAGAAAAAGAAGAAGCACATGACAAGAAGGAGGAACATTAGAAGTAGTTGTTCCAAGTAATTTAAGTTTAAGAATTTTTTATTTAGTTTTTACTCTCATTTCTACCTCAAAAGGAACGGTCAGCCAGCGAGGTATGTTTATGTCATGTATCATTTTTATGTCTTCGTGACACCGTCTCATTTAAGTTTATGTTGTATTTTTAGTCCGGCGGTGGTGCTGCGTCAGTGGCAACGGAAGTTAAGTACTGAGGGAAGACTTGCATTAAAGCTGATTTAACCCCAGCAGTTATGAGCTCTTTATTGCCCTCAAGAAGAGGTGGAAGTGATGCATGAAATACATTTTTGAGTCTGAGATTAAACTGAGATCTGTGTGGGATTAAATAAGAACTAAATATTTTGTTCAGTTAATAATCTTATAAGAAACACTGGAAAGAAGAAATGTTTTTATTATAATGAATAAAAAATGACCTGGCATGAAGCTGCACAAAATCTGTTTAATATTAAAAAGTGACCTGATAGTATTTGAGATAGTATTTTCATTATTTTAATCTTAATGTTTAATTTCTTTTGTTTTTTCTGTGATAATTTCATGCAAAATAAAACATGTTTCCTGACAAGAAAAACACTTGCAGAAAAAAAGTTAGGTGCTCTTCAAACAAACAGGAATAATTTATGCATTCAGAGCGAATTTCCAATTGTTTTCTTGGTAATGAAGTCGTGTTTAAAGTCCATAAGAAATGCATTAATTGCATGTATATTGCTGTTTTTCCTCTATCCCTAAGACTGCTTACTTATGATAGTTGTACATTATTACATACCTTTTGGTAGCAAAGCAGAAGACAACAGGTTGGGATTTTCCATGCTAAGCATTAATTATTCATACCCACGTCATCTAGTTTCAGTTCTGATGTTTGGCTGTGGTCCTTTTTCCAGTTTTCAGAACAAAAAAAAACCTCCTATGACAAACAGGTTTGTAGGTTGTCATAGGAGACGAGCTGTGGGTGTGCGTCTGCATGACATAGCTGAGTGGGCAGACCAAAGTGCAGCACGCCACGGCCAGACAGGAAAAGACGGATTTGTGAATGAAGTTGAATCAGAATCAGACCAGCTCTTCTGCTGACAGGATTTAAAAAGGGCTGTTCATAAATGTGATTTTATTTATGGTTAATTATTTTTCTTATGAAACAGAGGGAATTTGTTTCAGACCACCTGGCGATGTATTTTTGGCTTTGCCTCGTACTTGGAGCGATCTTCTTCAAGGGTATGTATTAAAATGGAGATGTGGTTTTACATGAACACTTAAAGAAAGATGTATCTATAAATGTGTATATGTGTAGACTTAGGTTGGAAAATAATAAGCAACAAAACTGCTCCTTACAAAATAACATTAGCCTGAGATTTAATCATTCAAACGTGTTTAACAAAACAGGATCAAAGACACTAAAGCAGAGCAAGTTTAGAGTTATCTATTTCATTTTTACTTGGAGACAGATTTTTAGTAAGATGACTGATTTATTGGACGTTAGGTAATAATTTTGCTAATTTAATAAGTAGCGTTAAAGAAGCAGTGGGGCTCTGGATACTAAAAATCTTTTTTACAACAAACAGCAACATCGTTCCTGATCGTTCCTCAAACCTTAAGCTTTTGATTCTATCTGGTTTCTTTTCCCATCTGATAAAAAGTAAGCACATTTTGCCTTTTTTTTATCATATTCTTTTTGCACACAGGAGAAATCAGAAAAGAAATGTGTGGAGTTCACATATTGTGCCTCTATTGGTTGTGAAACCTGCATGTTTAGGAATTCTGTATATTGCAGGAAATCTGTTTCCAGGAGAGACTTTGAGCTGTATTAAAAATGCTCTAATGCTCTTAAACTACTAGCATTCAACTTGTTCAACTTAGAGCTACGTGTTCCAGGAAATCTACACATTTACAGTAATAATGTTTACGTCCTCTCGAGTGATAAAAAAAGAGTCACATGACCTTTTTCCATGTGTGCTTAACAGCATTCTTAGTTTATGAGTCATAGAAAGAGCCTGCAGCCACTTACTGCAGCCGTCCTGACATGCAAACCGTGTAACGCTCGTGATTACGCAGCACTTAGCTCAGGTGAGGGAAGTTCAAGAGAATATAATCAGCAGAGAGGAATGCTAAAGTGTCTGCAAAGATGTCTCATACAGATGTGGCTCAAGTTGTTTTCTAATGTCTCCAATCAAACAGAAAAATTCTAAATAGATTTGTTACACAATCTAGCGCATGTATATATTTTTCTCAGCTTATCCAAAGTACCTTATTCCAAGTGTTGGCAATTCAAAACAACTAAATCAGATTAATCACATTCTAGTGCTGTGATTAATCATGATTAATCACTAAGCCTAACTTTATGAGTTTTAAATATAAATATGCATGCAGTTATGGTTCCTGCAGGAGTAATGCCCTGGGAAAAATCCTGCTGCTGCACTCCAACCACTTAAAATACAGGAAATTATATCCATTGATTGTAGAGCATGAGTGGGGCCTGCTCTGTTTCATCCCATTACCATATAAGGCATAAGGACTCACCTACGGAATGCCGTCGAACAAATCAGACAAACATGAAATAAACCAGATATGATCACATGGTGGACGGAGCGGGAAATGCAGCAGGACAAAGAGGGAGTGTTTGTTTTTTTAACGATAACGGTTTTGTACTTACAAAAGACAAACGATTTCACTGGAATTCCCACAGGAGCAACGTCATACGCATTTTGATGTGTAAGTGGATCTCCAAGATATATCCTGTGTCTTTATTAATGTTTGGTCGGTTTTTGGTTGACTGGCTATCCTGGAATCTCATTAATGAGACGCGAGTTTCCAACAAACGGTATCAATGTGTCGAAAGGCTTCATGACGCCTCATCTACCCATCAGTATTATGAACGCTTATTTTATAATGAGAGGCATTTCTGGTAAATTGTTTATTTCATACTCACCATTGTTTGAGATCACATGTGCCAAACTCAAGGCCCGAGGGCCGAATCTGGCCCACCGTAGCTACCACATGGAGGGTTTTCTGTTTTTGTATTTTGTTTGCTTAAAGTAACCCTTTGAATTGTCATGTGTTAAATCTTTAAAAATACAAAATTTACTCTTTCTTTGTTTAGACTTTGGTGTTTGCTTTGACCTTTTTTCTCAAGGTACAGCCCAATGAAGGGCAGCTGTGTCACCAATTCTGTATGAAACCAGTAAGATTTAGGCTACTGTCAGAAACTAAAGATGTTAAATAACACAGCCCACCAGAAGAACTTGGAATTTGTTGCTAATGTTGCTTTCTTAGCACCTTTTTCGGTACTAATTCACAGAGCCTCTGAGGAGTTGTTCACCAGTTGGTTTTTCTGTGCATTTTTAAAATTGTGATCTGCTTTTTTCCTTTTTGAAACCAATTATATTTACTACACTGTAACATAAGTACAACACATTCATAAAATCAAAAATATTCATTGGTCACTATGTTTACATTTTTTCCAGGTGGTTATTCTGCAGATGTTCACCCTGAGAAGGTCGTAGCCTTTGCTGGTGGAAACGCCGTCCTCCCCTGCAAGTTGAAAATCCCTGTGAGTGATCACGTTTCGATAGTGGAGTGGTCCAAGCAAGGCCTGGACTCAGACATCGTCTTCTTGTACCGTGATGGCTTTGAGACCTTTGAGATGAAGAATTTGGACTTTGAGTTCAGGACGAGTCTCTTCATGAGAGAGGTGAAGAAAGGGAACGTCTCACTGAGGATCTCCAACCTGAAGCCGTCAGACGCCGGGATCTATCAGTGTTTGATCATCCAAAGGAACGGAAGCAGAGAGGCGACAAAAGTAGAGCTGGCGGTTGGTATGTAGGATTTACTTTGTTTAATATGCTTAATTGAACTGGGCAAGATTTAAATGTTTCGTTTATATGTGCACCATTATTATTATTATAATAATAATATATATATATTTTTTTTTCATCATCAAAGCCACCACTGCAATGTTATGTTTTATAATAAAAATCTTATATCTTCATTGTATTTTCCCTGTCTGTCCTGTAATTGCGCATTTCACTTTTCCTAAACTTGACAAATCTGGGACTTTTAGATTGCTGACATACCAGAAGGTTCATAAATATTGACCACTGACAGGTGAAGTAAACAACATAATATCCGATGCAAATTGTGAACATTTTGTTCTTTAAAGTTTTTGTATTGGGACTTGGGAAAAAATGAGAATGGTAAGCATTTCAGTGACTTTGATAAGACCCAACTGTGATGACTGGACAACTGGGTCAGAGCAACTCCAAAACTGTGATTCTTGTTTGCTGTTCCAAGGACCGCCTGCCCTGGGGGAAAAGCTGGGCAGGTGGTACCCAGTGGCACACACCTGGCATAGACTCTGTTGTCTAAATGAGAATCTATGGATGTAGACAAGACAATAAAGACATGTAGTTATTAGGCCACAGCTGCTTTTACTTCCTGGTTGTGCACCAGTGATGTCCCTCTATACCCATTTTGGGAATATTGTGCCCTCTTCTGGAGCAGATGTGCATAGCAACTGTAACTTTGTAAAATAAATGTTAGTACTTCAACCAAAAATAGATATATATGCTATATAAAGCACTTAATATAGCATATTGTTAAATAAGCTGTCCACTGTTAAATGAGAAACTTAAGGGAATGTGAGCACCAGAACTGGATCATGGAGCCACATGCAAACAGCTACCATTTTTGGTTACATTATACACTGTAGATGACCAGATGTGTGGTTGCCGCTTACCTGCAAGGCAACTTGCCACCAGAAAGCTGGACAACATTGTTTTCTCAATCCAATGAATTTTCTTTGAGATGTGCTGGGAAAGCAAGTCTGATCCATGGGGATCCTACTTTACAACATACAGGAGCTGAAGGATCTTCTGCTAACGTCATGGTGCCAACATGCACTTAGGGCTACAGTGGAGTCCATGCCTTTGACTGGACAGACCTGTGTGACTACAAAATGGAGGCAGACACAAGTAAATCAATCAAGTTCACATGTATAACACACTTCAACAACAAGGCAGTTGAAAGTGCTTTACATCATAAAAACATAAAAATGAAAGGCATAAAAGCAACAGTCACCAGTAGACTAACATTACTTTTTGTTTAGTGCCATCATCACAATCAATAGATATAAAATATGTTGGTCAATGTTTCATTTATAATGTTTCACAAACATCTCTAAACAGGTGGGTTTCAGTTTTGATTTAAAGGAACTCAGTGTTTCAGCAGTTTTTTAGTTTCCTGGGCATTTGTTCCAGATTTGTGGTGCATAGAAGCTGAATGCTGCTTCTCCATGTGTGATCGTAACATCCAGTTTGACAAAGTGTTTAAAATTGTTTCCACAGCTGCAGCGTCTGAGCCGAAACTTGCAGTGGTTTTTATTGAAAGTGAAGGAGCGACTGTTGCATATGAAACAAGCTGCTGGCTGTCTTTGGATGATAAAGGAAATGACATCACTGATGAGGGGCCAAACCAGGAAGAAGATTCTAGAGGATGCTTCTCCTCTAGGCAAAATTTCTCTATGCAGGATTCCACAAGAAGGTAACAGGAGTTCAGCTTTCCATTTTTTACCTTCCTTTTTTCATCTACGTAATATAATATAGAAATGTCTGGACCATATTTAAAAAAAACACTTTTTTATGCCATATATAAAGGATTTAATAGTACTTACCACATATATTTTAATAATAGGATTGTTGCTCCTGTTGTTTGCTTTGGACTTGTGTTTCTGTGTTGGGCAAATGGCCTGAGGGGTTAACTGTTGTCTTCCCACCTGGGGCTGGTACAACCTTTAAGGTCTGGAGCAACCAGATCTGTGCCACTCCTGGGCATTGACTGTTCAAAAGCGCACCCACCTCCAAGTTGCATATCTGCACACATTCAATCCATGCAGACTCACAAACCCACCTGCACACATCCCACACATCCACTCCTGCACCCATACACATAATCCAGATGGCTGATTCCATTGGTATACAGGCTTGTATTCATTGATGTGGTTTGTCTAATTCTGCCAATGAGTGGCAGATAAAATAGTTCCTCCAATTTATGTAAAATATCTTCATGATCAGATTCTGTCTTTATTTCCTTCTTTAAAATAATAGCTATTTATCACTTTTAGGTTGCAAGTGCTCTTTTTTGTTAGGAATGTAGTCAGTACAAATAAAGTTAGTAAACTAGAGAAAAACATATTTGATCCTATCTGTTTTAGGGAAACCAGCAGAGCAAGCAGCTGTCAGCACCTCATGAAGCAGCTTTACAAAATTTGCTGAAGTGAGTTGAAATCAGCATGAAATTATGGATTATTATCTAAACCCACCATCATAAATCTGCCTCTTCAGATTTATAATTGTGATGTCAAAAATCACAATCATTTTATGCCACTAGAGGGAGCCCATGAGTTAATGTGGTCAGGAATTTAATTAAATTAATCTTTTGATTCCATCCTCTATTATCTACCATTTATACAGGGTTGAGTTGTTCAGCATTGATGCGTGTAAACATTTTTACACGAGTTGTTTGCCCAAAATCATTAAAATAAAGTGATGACTATGTGACCGCAGGATTGTCTGGAGAATGAACCAACCACAAATGGATCAGAACAGGACTGCAGAGATCCTCCTTTCAGGTAAAAAAAATAAAAAAATAAAAAATTACAATCACAAGTTGATTTCTTAACACTTCTTTTCCTTTTAGTTTCCTGTACAAGGCTCAAGTTTGAAATTTGCTGCATTGTTGGAGTGATTTCTGTTATCTTGCTTTTGTCTGGAATCTCAATTTGCATGTGGCAGACCTCTTGCAAAAATGGTAAGTAAGAGTTGTTTTTTGATAATAAATTAGTAAAGGACAAGAACAAATTTGTTCCATTAAGAAAATGATCACAAAAATACGTCTCATCCGGTTTTGGAATGGTAAATGGATTAAGTAGACTAAAACTAACACCTTCAAACTGATGTTTGAAGACGCAAACATAACAATTATTGTTACTTGTAAAAAAGTTGCTGAAATTTAATTTGTGAACAGACTTAGAATGTCTAATCAGTATAATAATAATAATAATAATAATAATAATACATAAGAGAATAAATTGTCACAATAACTCAACATTAAGAATAATATACCTAAAGCTACAAAATAGATTATTTCCTCAGATGTAGTTTAGGTTTCTTGTAAAGGTTTCATGAGTGTTAACTCTTGTTTTCTTGTTTTCACTGCAGCGAGGAAGAAAATCAACCAAAGAAAATCATCCGACTCTGATTTGAGAAGTGTGAACTGTGAAATGAATAATCTTTTGAATAACACAGCTGAAAACACAGGAAAAATCAAGATTGAGGATCTAGAGAAACAGATTTACGATCTGAAATTAGAGAGCAGTCACAAAGATGAGACTATCCGTAAACTACAGGAGGATATCCGATCTATGGGTGACGTCTACCAGCATAACAAGACAACACATTTCCAAAGTTCTTCTGAATCCCAGCAGAATATTCTGAGATACCTCACCCAAACTCCAGACCTCAACACAGACACCAAAAAGATCCAGAAAAAGTCTTCAAAACATGTAAAATTTGGTCATGAAAAGCTAAACAGCAAACTGAGTCCTGGTCGATCATCGAAAAGAAAATTAGATCAAAGCAACATGTCAACTTTGGGTGCCTCAGGTTCTGCAGCTGGCCTCAGGTTTCTTGTCCATCCCACAAATGATCACTTAATTAATCGTGATTATAGTGACACAGTGGTTCACCGCAGGCATTTTTCATGGCCTTTAAATCCTTTAGAGTCTTCTAACCGTTATTCTCCTCTGGCTGATATGACAGAGTAACAATGTTTGGATAAATGTATTGTTTTCATAGCTACTTATACCTGCACCTCTCATTATCCCACTGCCTTCTTTCCTTCTTTCAGCAGTCATGTTGGATGATAATAAAAAAGTAATAATAATACTACTAATAATAAAAACGTTTTTATCATGCAATACTCCTGGCCTCCTATGAAACTCTTGGTTTTAGTTACTGTCTCTTTAATACCAACAACTACTAATTGGTTATATATATGCTTAATGTGTTTTAATGTTGAGAACATTCCAAGATGGTGGGATTAGATATTCCCACCAGATTTTACAAAATTTACAAGATTACACATTTCTTTCCTTCTTCCTGCTCCTTTTTCACTTTTTCAAGTGTTATAAGACTTTGTATTTTGATGAAATGATGAAATTAGTTTAATCAAGTGAATAAACTCATTAAAGATAATGGGTTAAGTATCACAAACTGAGGAACTCGAACAATAAAAAGAAAAAACAATTTAATACCCAATACCTGTGACGTAAACATCAACCAGGCTTTCAATCAGAAAATATGGCTGCAGTAGCAGAGAGAACATCACTGGGACAATTTTGAGCCAAATATTAATGAAACAAGTTTACATGAAAATGTTATAATTTGCATAGAAACATAACAGTATCACTCTTAGAGTCCAATTTATCTAGAAAAAAGGGACCCAGACAGGTCAGAGATGGTTTCCTTTCCCTCTTGGGGCCCATTTACAGCAAACAGTTGACCTACATCAAACCACTGGGGCTCCAGACACACGGATGAGATTCAGTGTCTCTGCAAAATTATTTTGTCATTTAGGTTGTGCATTCAGGCAGACCTGGCGTTTAGGTCTTTGAAAAAAAGGGCTCCAGAGTAGAAAATATCCATGCAAGTTTTTTGAAACAATGTCGTAACAATGAAAACTGCATGCACTTCACCTCACAGATAAGGTCTGCAACTTTCTGTGTAATTAGATGTTTTTTGTGAGGTTTAGTAGAAACGTTATGGCCCCACCGATTGACCCGGCATGCTGCTCAGGATCCTGTCATGGACACACATCTTAATCATTTACAAAAATGTGCTATGTTTATCTCAGTGTGGATTGCCCCTTTTGTAATGAACACAGAACCATTATGAATCCAACAGACTGGTGTCCATTTCCATATGTTGTCTGGTTACCTGTTAAAATCCCATTATTCAGGTTTCATAAATGCTGCTTTCAATCAGTGTTCAAAAATCCAAGATCCATTAAAATGATCAATCCCAACAAGATCCATTTTACTGCTTAATGATTTTAAAAGGTGGTTATGCTGCTGCGCACAAATATCAAACAGCAGCAGGTTTTCTGTTAAAAAAGCTGTTTGTGCAGTTTGTTCTGTGAACCTTCATCTTCAGAAAGGAAACATGAATCTGACGCCCTTCAGTAGCCCCTGCAGCGCCTGCAGGATCTTTGCTTCTCACAAAGGAAGTGAGAAGCGTGTTTTTCAGTCAGTCGACGGTCAGACAGGATGCTGGTAACACCGTTCTGCCTGATGCTGAGTGAGTAAAAACATTGTGAACTTTCCACTGCTTTGCTTTCGCCTGTTTGTAATCTCTCATTATGTCCTAAAGCGATCGCTTGCTTTTCTGATCAAACTGTGTAAAAATATTTTCCAGCACATGCTGTTTTTTCTCTGTGTTTGTGTTGATTTTCTGGAGCAGATTCACACTTTCTGTGCAACTTCCTCTGTTAGTTTTCAACTGCCCACCAGTTTTTATTTGTTGATTTCTTCATTTTTGTCTTTCCTTCAATGTCTTTTCCTCTGTTTTTTGTTCCTAATGCAACATTGCGAGTTTGAATTCCACTTCATCCTCTAATCACCTCCGTCCGTACTCTATTTTTGATCAATTATTTTCATTGTGTTTAAAGTAATATTTCCCCTGAATGTATTGCGATGTGAGCCGTCTGATCCCCCCTCAGCCTGCCTTCAGGTCATTCCTGACCGGTCCCAGTTCTTCCGCTACGACTCCATCTCCCTGAGCTGCGAGGATCCGATCAACTCCACCGGCTGGAAGGTGAAGAGGAGAACCTCAGACAGCGGGGTCAGGCCATGCTACTCCGGCTGGGGCTTCCCCTCCGCGGCCTCCACCTGCACCATCGGTAACACCTACCCCACGGACACCGGGGTGTACTGGTGCGAGTCGGACACAGGGGAGCGAAGCAATGAGGTCAACATCACCATAACCGGTACAGTTGACCAGTACTGTTTCTAAACGAACTCCACTCCTAAACATCTGTCAGTTTGGAGCCCCTCATTTTTCCACCAGTTCTAATAAATAAATTATGCAGATGATGAACAGCTCTACTTTAAATTTTCACCAGGTCACTATGAACCAATTCAAGCTTTGAGTGGATCAACAGAACACATGAAAGCGTGGATGTGGAATATCTTTATTCAGTTTTCTGAAGTTGTTATTTTTGGATCTAGAATCAATGCAGAGCTTCAGTTATTACAGCTGGAAACTAGAGATCAGGCCTAAAATCTGGAAGTAGTGATGAACTCAGACCTGAACCTTACGAGTCACATAAAGACAGTTACAAAGTCAGCCTTCTATCAGCTGAAAAACATTTCCAGAATAGAAGGATTAATGATCCAGAAAGATGTAGAAAAATCCATCCGTCCGATCAGGGCTCAGTTTTTAGACTTCTCTAGTCTGGAACAAACTTCCAGAAAACTTCAGAAATGCTCGAACACTGAGTTCTTTTAAGTCAAACTCTTATTTCTTGAGAGTTGCCTTTGATTAAAAACAAGTTGAACATTTATTAATATTATTACGTTGCTTTTTTTTTGCCACTTTAAAGTAAGGATTCTTCTTGTTTGTTGTTTTATGTTTTCATCTTCTGCTCCAAAACTAGATTGTTACAAACAAAAAATCTGTGCTGTAGCTTTAAATTAAAAACTACCTCAGCCAATGTGCCTAGAGCATAGAGCATAGAGGCTCAAAATGCTAAAACCTAATTTATTCTTTTCTCCCCCAAAGATCGCGCAGTGATTCTGGAGAGTCCTGCCATGCCGGTGTCAGAAGGAGCTGCTGTGGTTCTGTATTGTAAAGCTGAGACTAACGCCTCCAAACACAAATACAACTTCTTCAAAGATGGCCACCTCATCAGGAGCAACTGCTCAGGAGAGATGACCCTTCTCAGCGCTTCCAAATCCGATGAGGGGCTCTACACCTGCAGCGCCGCAGGGCTTGGAGAATCAGAAGGCAGCTGGCTGACGGTGTTCAGTGACCGAAACAATCAACACGTCCAGCTCAGTGAGGAGAATCCTTCATATTCCTACAGTGTTTAATAGACCTCCACTTCAGAGCTGTCTGAAGTCAGATCATTGCCATGAAACACTTTTTTTTTACATAAACACCAGGAATCGGATTTAAAAAGAAAGTATTGTTTTTATCTACAGCTTCTCTGTCACCAACATCTTCGGCTTTGCCCACAGCCTCAGTTTCATTTCCTGGTTCCAGACTGTTGTGTCACCTGGTAGTGGGGATACCTTACCTGCTGTCCACCATCCTACTGGGACTCATATACAGAGACAGGAAGAGAGGTAACGCTGTCTGTCCTGGACGTCCTGTTCTCTCATTTCCACTCTTTCAACTCAGAAACTTTTAAAATCTTAAAAGAAAAAAAAATAGACTGAATTATAATCAACTAATATCAACCAATAGAGAAACTGGACAGTATTTATGCACACAGTGTGGCCATTAAATAGAGCAACTCACATCACACAGTGATGAGACAGATCTTCATTTTAACCTTCTGGGTCTAATTTCTTCTGTTGTGTTTTGAAATCTTCAAGCAATATCACAATATCACAACTGCAGACAAATTAAGGAAAACAGACAGCAGGAGGCGATGTTGTAGGTAATTGATAAGGGTAATTATATATATATATATATATATATATATATATATATATATATATATATATATATATATATATATATATATATGGTAGTGATGTCACTGGTTGGTTTTGTAATAGTGTTGTTTTTGAGTTAGCACACTTTGAAGGAAGTGGCTGATTTGTAAAGATGTAAGGCAGCGACCACAGCTCTGAATCACTGAACCTTTCTTTGAAGATAACTTTTCAGTTTATTGCTAAAGAAACAGCCTTTTTGACCATTTTTGCACATTTTGAGCATACTTTCTAACTATATGCTTTTCTTAATAGGATATTTAGGAACAAGATGATTATTAAGATTAAATGATGCAAAATCTACTTTTAAAAGCTTGAGCAGGTTTTTGTTGTTGCTAAATGACATCAAATATATTCTAAAATATAAATCTTCCTGTTTATCAACTACATTCCTACAAACAAAACAATAAGTGATAGAGCTGAAAACATAAAACGTGTAGATCTAATTACCATCTGTTTTCTTTTTTTACAGCTACTCAGATAGATGCAGACCAGAGGGAAAATCTTGATGTTATCATGGAAAGGATTGTGTGAGTAATCTCCAGAAGCTGCTGACCTCAGAGAAGATGATGTGTGTTCAACCATATCAGTTCAGAGACATGTTTCCAGCATCCAGAAAAAAAAATCCAGATTTCTTTGGTGCTCAAGTGGATGTATTTATTTTATGATCAAATTTCAACAGGAGAGGAAGGTTTTGTTTTTAAATCTAGAGTTTTGTTTTACAGTGAAGCATATTCAAAATGCATAACTCTAGTGACTGTGAAGAGGAAGTGGAAATGTCTCTCATGTTTGCTTTAAAAAGGTGTTTGTGGTTTTAGCTGCAAAGTCGCTGTCATCAGCTTTGTGTCTGGCCTTTGCTGAGGGGTGAGGGTGTTTTCTCGATGGACTTTTCTAGCAACTTAAGCTGTGTGTGTGTGTGTGTGTGTGTGTGTGTGTGTGTGTGTGTGTGTTTGTAATACCTTGTGGGGACAGTTAATCTGACACATACTACGTTGTGGGGACCAATTGCTCCTTGTGGGGACCGAAGCCTGGTCTCCACAAGGGGAAACGCTGTTTTTGGACCAGGGATTAAATTTAGGGCTAAGGTGTGAATTAGTTTTGGTTAGGGTTAGTGTTAGGTATGTAATGGGTAGGGATAGAATTATGGTAAGGGTAATGTTTAGGCTATAAAAATGAATGGAAGTCAATGGAAAGTCCCCACAAAAGTAGCCACGCAAATGTCGGCGTGCGTGCGTGCGTGCGTGCGTGCATGCGTGCGTGTTTGTGTGTGTGTGTGCGTGCGTGTTTGTGTGTGTGTGTGTGTGCATGTATGTTTAGTTTCTGTTTAGGACCATTTCTGGGACATTTACCAACCTTCTGAAGACCGATGGGCCTTATGGGGACCAAACCTCATCTTAACATGGTGGACCCCTTTGTAAGGGTTAGGTTTAGATTTAAGTTGTGAATAAAGTTTTGGTAAAGGTTAGTCTTACTTGTATACTGATAATAGTTACGGTTAGGTAAAATGAATAGATTAGGCGTAAATCAGCTAATAAAATGAACAAAAGCCAATACAAAATCCTAATTTGGGTAGAAATACAAACTTGTCAGTAAACAGTTTTTGAAGTTGCCTTATCCTCCTCCACATGCAATTTGTTAATAAAAAGTATTATTAAGACACATTTTACTGCCTTTCATGTCCTGAGTTAGTCTTTCATCCTTTAGTAGGTCAGTTGTGGTTAGATTATTGAAAACGATGTACAAGTTGTTTCTCAGAAAAAAGGATGCTGTCCTCATTTTATGCCCACAAGTCAGAAACTGGATTAAAAACCCAACCCAGGTTAATGGTTAACACCTACAGTTTCTGCACACAACAACAAGGCTTGGGTTTGTCCAATGTATTTTAGTGTGAAAATGTTTTTAAAAGTATTTACCTACTGACTCTAGACTCTAGCCGTATTTTCTCTTCTGTATTCAAATTGTCATCTATTGATTATATACTAACATTCGTAAAAGACATCATGTGTTCCCTGTTTTATTGTTGTTAGAAATCAGTTTTAAGTTACAAAGTTTTGATGATTAAATGAGTTTTACTCTAATTACTTAATAGGGAACAGCTGTTGTAAGGATGATGCAAAAGCTAAAATGCAGGAATAAAATACTGAACATGTGTACAGATAACTGTAAATGACTGTAAAGATGTATGTGTGTCATAAATAAATATGGATGGCACAAAATCTGCTGACAGCGTAAAATATGGAGAAAAACAAATATTTTTATACTACTACTGTAAATACTGTATTGCAAATAAATTTGTTTTATAATTAGCATAATGTCTGCAACAAATCATCTGCCTTCATCTAACCCCTCATCTTCATTCAAATATAATTCAAATATTCCTCTGAAACTGAGTCACTAACTACCTTTATTCTTGTTTTTGTAAGTTTAGATCGATCCAGTTAGCTTTATCTTACATCTTATGATACTTACTTAAGGTCACTTTAATTCTCTCATCTTCTTTGTTTTTCTTTTTTAACTGTATTTGCTTTAAGTCTGTAATGCCAGATGACTGTAAACCATCATCTAAAAGTTAGAAACTAAGCAACAGGGGAGAGTTAAAAGTCAAAGTTGTTTTTGTCACACCTGCTTGCACAATCATTCACCATCATTTTAGTTTATAAAGAATTCTTATCAGTTGTTCCAGTCAAGTCAATATCGGTGATAAACAAAACAAACCAACAGATGATCTAGAGCAGAGGTTCCCAAACTGTAGGGGGTGCCCCCTAGGGGGGGCGCCGTGCCATTGCAGGGGGTTGGTGGGTGCGCAGGAAGCCGTCTGGATGGGAAAAACAAAACAAAACAAAACAAAAAATAAACACATGAACACTGTATGCGCTGGGTTTTTACCTTAGAATGGCCAACTCTCTGTTATTCCTATGTCAATTTGATACAGTAGAGGCTTCCGCACTTCCCATATCTGTGTCCTGTGTCACTTTTATCAGCAGTTAAAACTGTTTAATCCGTTGTTAACATGACGTAACCTGTTTTACCGAGCCACCTTTAAACGCAACATGAGCGTTTAAAGTTTGGGAACCACTGATATAGAGGCAGAATCCAGATGAGAGATCTGCAAAATGTGGGTTTATTATCTTATCTGACAAAGAGATATTGATAAAATGAACAGAAATTTCAGTCAACTGTCTCTGGAAGACTGAGTTTTTCCATAACTTGTAGTTTTTGACATTCCTGGCTGCCGCAGGTCAGAGATGTCGCTCATGCTTCCAAACTGCCTCTCTGCCATCGGTGAGGATTGAGGACGATTTGCACCTTCAGAGTTGCTCACGTTGTGCTTTCTCTTCAGAGACGTTGTCATTTCTAGGTTGTTTCCCGTTTGTTCTCCATCTGTGTGACGGAGATCATGGATGGTGTACGCTGCTTTTCTCAGTTTAAGTGCAAAGCAGCAACCAAACAGAACAATTCATGTTTCCAAATATTCCAGCTAAATTTAAATGAAGAGAAAAGCTCAATTGAACCAATTAAGACGAGGATGACAAAATCAGAAACGCCCAGAACAATCCCAGCTGTTGCTTCGGTTTCCATGGTTTCTGGAATGATGTAAAGGTACGACAGAGTATAAATAAATAAAAATAATGAAATCACAAGAAGAAAGTCATAATATTATGACTTTATCTTAGAAATATGACTTTATTCTTGTATTATTTCGACTTTCTCATTATTTCAATTTTATTCTGTGACTATAGTAATTTTATTTATTTTATTATTTCTTATCAGTATGCCCTCATACTCTTATAAAAGATACTGAGTTGTGCTCTTTGAGATAAAATGCAGTGCATTACATACTTTAATCTTGCATTAGATAAAAGCTTTTGAAATGTAACTTTATTATTCTTTTTTTAAGCTTTTTTTATTTTCACAACTTATTCCAGCATGAAAGATGTAATTTGATAAATTTCATTTGTTTCCTTCAATATTTCTGGTAAAGCAGTTCATCTTCAAGAAGAATATTTTCAACTACAATTATTGACTTTATTAAATTATGAGTAATTTAGGGATAATGAGCTTGGATCTCACTTTGGTGGTTCATTTTTAAAATTACTACCGCAGTCTGCCACTAGGTGTCTCTGTCGTCCATGAAACCCTGACAGGCACGTCCAGCAATGGTTTCAGTCGCAAAGAGCCTTTTCTGCACCACACTTTATATCTAAATTTTGTATTTCCACAGTAAAACACACCAAAGGTTGAAAATCATGCACACATTGTAGCTTAACACCTGGAAAAAGAAAGTTTTGGATATTTTTCCTGCTGCTTATCATTTTCTTCTAAATGTACTTTAATTCTGAATATTTTTATCTCATTAGTAAGCAGAGATTAATTTGTTTTAAATCTAAGAAAGATTAAAGATCTGAAGAGTATTTCAGGAACTACACCTTAAAAATCAAAGACTTTGCTTCAGCTCAGGTTAATGAATCATAGAGCATTAATGACTCAGTTCAAAGGCTAGGGAAAGATATCAACGTAAACGATCACTAGTCCATAAATAAAGCAATAAATGAACATGACTCAGGACGTCCTGGTACTACAGAGGACCTTCTGCAGTACTGGATGGTTCAGTGAACACCTCTGGGTCAGGTGCTGGAGCTCCTCTCTGTACAGGTCTCATCATTATTATCAGGTCCTGATATGACCCCAAGGTCCAGGTGGCATAAATGAGTCCAGAGAAAGAAAATGTAGAATTTAAAATGGTTTATTACAAAAATAAGGTTTCAGAACTTTCCTAACCTAAATGAGAAGGTTTAACCCAAAACTAAAGGTCAAGTGTAATTTAATTAAATGTCCAAAAATAACCAAACATGCTCATTTAAACTCAAAACCACTCAAAAGAAAAAATGAACACTAAGGAAGTACCAAACTCCTCAAACACAATCTTATAACAGAACAAAGTGGGTCAGCAGAACAAAGTACTTCAAATCTGCCCAAAACATTCTTCAAAAAGCCTAACAAGGAAGCAAAGTGGTCAGCTGTACAAAGCCTCTGCATGAAAGCTGCCCCCCTGGAGGAATGGTTGCAGAGTCTTTTGTAGGTGGGCCTCATCAGCATCTGATTGGTACTGTCATCATCTGCTGCTCCACAGCCAATCAGCAAAGTGAGCTCCCACCTCCAAACCTGCATAACAAAAAGAGAGACTGGACAGCCTCTAGAGGCCGGCCCACATCACACCCACTGCGGCGGTATTGTCTGCAAACTTTCAAACCCTGTTAGAGGAGTGGATGGCTGCACAGTCATTGGTGAACAGTGTACAAAGAACCGGACCAAGCACACAGCCCTGTGGTGTCCCTGCACTGAGAACCACCAGCTGATGGTTGGTGAGAAAGTCCCAGATCCAAAGGCACGTTGATGTTAAAAGTCACATGTACGTCTGACATATAAAAGAAAAAGGGACTCACTACAATAACTAGATAAAAAGTCAAAGAGTATCACATTTCACAGGTCAGGAAAAGGTTTTAATAAAAAAGGGAGTGGGAAGTAGGTTGGTTATGCTAGCTTGACTTTGACAGCCTTAACATGTTGATGTGCTGTGGGGTTTGGTGTATTCGGTTCTGTTAAAAACAAAGGCAACTCTCTGACAGGCTCATCAACAGCCTGTGTGGCTTGAAACATAATAGAGTTTTATGT